ATGGACATGTGACGACTCCGGGCTGGACTCCGCTTCCTCCACGGTGAAAGCCGATCCGGCGATCCACAGCGCAAAGTTGTAGTATTTCTTCAGCGATATCTCTTTGGATTTGAGACTTTAGTCTTTGCAACTTTACAGATCTTCTTTATGCACCAAGAGCTTGTAACACTCCAAAGAGAAAGGAAAAATTGAAATCGCATCATATGACCCCTTTAAAGATCCTCTCATATGTAAGTCATGAAGTCATTACACTTGATTCTGTGATCATTTCGGACGGCTGCACATCGTTGCATGTTTATACATATGTCAGAAAGTCAGATCCTGTGTTTGACAGCAGTAACAGCAATGTTATCATAGCTTTGATCAACCACAGCTCCCCATCTGTTACAGAGATTATGCGCTGAGAGAGACAAAGCTGACATCAGTGTTTCAGCTGAGCTGCACAATGCATCCTGTATCTCTCTGAAGTTTCATCAGCGGTGCTCCTACATGCATCTGTAGTTGAGACCCACAGACTCTTGTCTTCTGATGCTTACTAGAGCAGTCTGTTTTAACCTTTGGCCTTTGAGTGGCTCACTCTCTCAAACACACATACAGAAACACACGTTTTCCTCTCGCCCTGCTCTGTCAGGGAAACTGAAGGCCTCCCTTTGGGCACTCAGGCAGATGACTTCATTGGCCTTGTTTGTTTTCTGCCCTTGGGGCTGGAGAGGAGAGGAGAAGAGAGAGAGAATGCCGGCTCATCCTGACACTCCAGCACAGGAAACAGTCTAGTCCGGGCTGGAAACAGACGCTGAAAGAGCCCTTTGGAAGCGGCATTCCTCTGCTGTCTGCCTTTACAAACATCTGGTTTCATGTGGGTAAACGCACTGTGACCTCTGTGCCATCATAACACTGGAAGTGTAGATGCCTCCTTTATGTGAAACTTTTTGCATAACCAAAAAAATTTTAACATTTAAGGCCCTTTCACACCACAATCAAAATGTACCTTGAAATGAAACGCATACAAAAGTCTATTTGAGACCCAGAATGAAACAAAAAATCATTTACATGCTTTAATGCAAGCATTTATCTGAATGTCAAGTCAAATTTATTTATATATAGCGCTTTTCACAATACACATTTCAAAAGCAGCTTTAAAGAAAATCATGATGTCGCATTAGTTGAACGCTAATATACTGTAGTACATTTTGCGATGATGCAAGTAATCAAGCAGTTGAAATTTGGTATATAGTATATATGATCCTACTCAAGTAAATGGCAGATTAAGTTGGACATTATTACATATTTAACTTTATATAAAGAGATTGGCGATAATATACTTGTTTGCTATGAAATAAAAATCAGGCCGTTGAGATTTGCGATTTAGTGTTTTTCACTTTGAATATACTGTATAGGGCTGTCAAAATGACTGAAAAACTAAATTCGAATTTTGTAATTAAATATGATCAAAATTCAAATTTAAAATGCATAATTTCAGTTAGGGTGAAGAAAAGCTTTTGGCTTCTCTTCTGAGGCCACAAGAGGGCGCATCGAGCAAAATATTACTAATGCACGTTTATTCAGTAAGATAGAAAACATGACTATCTGTGAAAAAAAGTGCATAATGTTTAAAATAATGTTTATAAACCATATATAATTAATTAAGTTGCTTAAACAACTATAAACAAAACAGCATCATGTATGTATGCATAGTTTAATACAAAGGGCGGAAAGCCAATCACACAGAGTACATTTTTCATTTAAAAACATGAGATGCAGTGGGATGGGGAAAAACCCGCCATAAAGTCTCAATATATGTTTTTTTTAAAGTTAAACCTACATTAATTTTACATGGCTTTCTAAACATGCGGCTCTTTTGTGCGAGACGCGAGTGCAACGGTGATAGGTGTTCCTCTGGAAAATGTGCGAAATATGCGTTCTGTGTAAACGGCTTGGTTTCAATTTTGACGTAATCAAGATCTTCTCCGCATTGATGTTCTCTTTTTCCGCAATATTTTTTGGATATGGAGAGTTTTGTAACAATCACACAGCTGAGATTTTCTATATAATATATATTGCTTTATGTGAATGTACAGTATATATGCAGGTAAAGTAGGATGTACTATGTGTATCCAGCTTTCAATATATTGCTGAATGATAATATAGTTTACATTTTTCGACAATTGGATATACTTATAGTAGTTGTATAATTCATTATTATTATTAATTTGATTATTCATGTTATTTATTGATTATCTGATGACATTGAGAATTATGTGAGGTTTTGTTCAATTTAAACATATCTTATTGGTCAGAGTTTTGTTCACCAGACCAAAAATAATTTAGTTTTCAATGTTTTGTTTGCAGAATATTCACAGCATATTTTTGTTAAAAATATATGTTTTTATGAAAACACAATTACCTCAAACATATTTGAAAAATGAGTGTTAATAGCATGCACTCATACAGTTTATGCCTTTTGTTCGTGTTTGTGTTGACTGAATGTTTGGATTCCACTGTGTTTCTACATAGTCTGCACAGTTTGTTTCATCATGGTCCAATGGTAGTCATTTTTCAGGAGTACACCCACAGGGACACAGTCGAGGATTTACTGAGGTTACGCGTTATTTATTGCTTTTACAGTTATTTAAAAAAAAGCTTATTTTTCCCCTCCCCATTGAGTTTGTGGGATAAAATCTCTGTAATGTACTGTAATCTCGTTTCAGTCTTGGCTGATGTGCAGTTTGGCTTTCTGATAGGAGGATGTGATGCTTATTTGGCTTATAGATGCACTTAGATCTAGAATGTGTTAATCAAACGAAGACTAAGGTCACAATCCGCGAGAGGTCTGACAGACTGCATTTAAAATAAAATATCTAATTATAAGATACTTGCCTGCCAAAGCTGCCAAATTGTGACCACTCCAGTCAAATGTCCATTAATACTGTGAATGGAGTCAGTTGAGCGGTTATGAAGTCTTGGAAGACTCATTACAGTGAAAGTGGATTATACAAGGCTCTGATTGTTCAGTTTTGGAAGACACAGTTAGAATAACACACCCACTGTACAAAGCCCAAACAACTCAGAGCCCAGTTCAGCAGTGCTGTCCTGTCTGTTCTTTTACTTTGTGCCCAGACAAATACTGCTCATTTTCTGCTCCAGATGAGAAGTCAAAACAGATGTATGGACTGAGTCATTGGCTAATGCCTGCTCTCAATGCCCTCTCTGATGTGATCTCAGTGGAAACCAGGGGTGATCCAGAACGAGAATATGAATAAACATATTTCATCATTACATATAGAGTATGAACTTACTGTAATACTGAAAGACTGTACTGCATATAGGCTTCCCTCATCTGTCCCTCTATTGTTTCTTTGTGACTCGACCAACAACAACAAATTCTTAAATTCTAGCAAACTATTGAACGGCTGCACAAACATCCAATCTGAGATCTGTGTTGGTCCTTGGTCCTGTTTGCTTGTTCGACAGGCAGAGATGTTAAAAAGAAGCTGCTCTCTCTTTCGCTCTCTTTTTTAACATTTTGAGTTTTTTTCCCTCATCAAGAATGATGTTGAAGGCTAACTGAGGAATTTCTGGAGCAGCTTGGAGGAAAAAAATCCACCTAAATTGTGTACTCTTTTTTTTGTTCCACACAATTACTATAAAACTTGATATGCTCTCATAATCCACCCTTTAGAGCTGTCAATATAAACATTCTTACAATGGAATTGTTTGGTCCTTATTATCAATTTTACCACTGATCTTTACCTCTGAAGTTCTAGTCTCTCGTTCTCAGTTGTCTTCCCTCTGGTGGTCTGAGGCTGCTATTTTACTACTATTTTAGAACCTGAATCCCTTTGGAGCTCTAATGAAAGAAGACAGGTGCTGAGTAAATCTACAAGTACTATTTATAGGAATTTGTACTGAGTATTTATATTCATAAGCTATTATATTTCAAAGGAATAATAGCATCTGTGAGTCTTAGAGCCTTACATTGTCAAGACACTTAAACATGTTGCTTTGCAGGGTTTGTGCATCAAAGATACTTTAATGAGAAAAGTCTGTTTTCTTGATTTCTTTATGTTCTCAAACTACTTTTTAGGTCTTGAGTACTATTAAATGTGAATTTTTTATTAACTAAAACTAAAACGTCAACTGAATAAATAAAATATAAAAAACTTGCCAAGGCAACATTTCTCATTTTCATCTAGTTTAACTTTCATGTAGTTTATCTTTAACTACTAAAATAATTAAAAGTAAAACTGAAATAAAAATGTATAAAAAATATATAGACATATTTAAAAACAAACAAAACTAAAACTAAAACAATCAAAACTCACAAAAAAAATACTAAAATTGAAACAAATTAAAATAAAAATGGAAAACAGAAACTAATTCAAAATATTGATTAAAACTGTAATAGTATCTCAATTTTGGACGCTGTACTAATAAAACACAAACATATTCTGTACTCTATAGTATGTCAATATTATGTAATATTTGACAATGTAGTATATTGTCAACACTTTTTATTAGTCGTATTAGTCACACTTTATTTTAAGGTCCAATTCTCACTATGGACTAACTATTAACTACTATTTTTGCCTCAATAAACTTGTAATTTGCTGCTTATTAATGGTTAGTAAGGTAGTTGTTAAATTTAGGTATGGGGTAGGGTTAAGAAATCTAAAATATGGTCATGCAGAATAAGGCATTAATATGTGCCTAGTACTAATACTAGTACTAGTACTAGTACTAATAAACAGGCAATATGCTAGTAATATGCATGCTAATAACTAGTTAATAGTGATAATTGGTCCTGTTCTGTTTTCTGTTCTCTTGTGACATGTTATCTAGTGTAAATATTTGTCTTGTGTGTATTTGGCTCATGCTGTTTGTGAAAGGCAGCACTTAAAGATGCATAAAACATAATCACTTAGTGTTTTTTTCTTGCTGTTACATATTTGATCTGTACCGTCCTTTCACAGAGTCTCTAAAAACACATTGTTCTCTCACAGGAAGAATGCTGAACTGTATCCTGTGTGGGGTTGTTCTAGCTCGAGTGTTGTCTGCCACCAAATCGAATTGAAAAAAGTAAGAAAATTGAAGCAGCAAATCATCTTTTATGTATGTGTGCTTGCACATTGAACACAGTGGAAGCTAGGACAGACAGCGGAGCATTAAGACAACAAAGCTGCTTTTACATTCCTGGAAAAAATGCTAGACAGAAAATATAGGAAATCAGAGATTTACTGCTTTTACTTATCAAGCAGGATATAGGGCTACAATTGCATTATGAATTACTGAGATATTTTTATTCTAGTTGTTTTGAGACTACAAATAGTCCTTAATGAGCAGAACTGAGAGATGAGAAATCTCTTGGTTGGTGTTATAAGACTGTTATGTAACTCTCTCTCAGGCAGCTGTGTCCTTCATGCTTAAATTGTAGCTGTCTTGGGACTTAATGTGAGGTGTCTCTGCAGTGATCATGTTGAAAATGAAAAGATAGAAGTACGGTGGACGCCTCCATGGTCACACTACTACACCCAGTCCCTTAGGAACTCAAGTATAACTGCAGATTTAAAGCAGTGAGAAAAGGTGTTTAAAGTTGTCAGGATCTTGACACTGAGAGTCATATTAGAGGTTTGTAAGTGTCTTAAACACAGAAACAGCAGATGTTCACTTGAGCGATGCTCATCACTCACATCAGAGCTGAGCTCTTGTGTGTCCTTGAGTCGTCTCTGAGATGATTGAAGACGCTGCGTGACTTTGACACCACTGCTCTGCTGTTAGACCCATTACAGCCGCCTAATGACACAGCCATGGAGATTAACGGCATTAATCAACTGCAGTGGGCTGTTCAGTTACTAACAATCTAAAGTATGTCTGTAGAAAATAGTACCGCTTTCTGCTCTCATATTCCAGAGTTTCAGATGACAATTGTCAGTCTGTGAATGCATCTGAGTGTTTCTGGGTTTTTTGAGTAAAAAAACAAGAAGTGTATTTTTTTTACCCATTAAAAAGCTTTAATAGAATAATTAATAAAATAATAAAAACAACAACCAATATTGTATTAATTATATTAATTATTAATAGTACCTTTCAAACGTTTTATGTTTTTGAAAGAAATCTCTTATGCCCAAAGCTGCATTTATTTTGATCTAAAATACAGTAATATTGTGGACATATTATTACAATTTTAATATAACCGTTTTAAATTGTAATATATTTTATACATTTAACATGTGATGCAAAGCTGAATTTTCAGCATCATTACTCCAGTCTTCAGTGTCACATGATCCTTCAGAAATCATTCTAATCACAAAAGACAATACCAGACCAAGGAACCGAGGAGAACACAGGGCTTAAATACTAGGTAGAACGCAATCAGGGAGAAACAGAACTAAATATAGGCAAAGCAGGTGAATTAGAATGGGTTCAGACACTTTTAAGCCCATGAGAGCATCCTGTCCCTGAACCAAATTGCAAGGCTGCAGTCAGAGGTCAGCAAATGTGGCTCAGTTGTTAGTTTTATGAAAATTAAAACTCTTAATGCCATCCCAAAGCTCAGAAGCAGTATGGGTTGGACAGTAATCCGATTCTCCATGACAGAAATAAAAAAACAGCACAAATCCACAGTCCAGTTTTTCCTCATACCTGAAATCATTTTCCAACCACATGTCTTAAAATGCTTGTTTTGCATTCTTTTGCATTCATTTAATAATATCTAATAGTTAATAAATTATTGATTATCTTTTGGAATTACTGTGTCATATGTTCCTATATTCTACTCTGTTCTAATTTCACAAGACGTTAATCTCTCATTCAGCAAGGATAAAATAAATTGGAATAAATTAAAAAAACATGAATCTACAGAAATATTAAGAAGCACAACAGTTTCTTGAGCAGCAAATCAACATATTATAATGATTAAGGGTCATGCGACACTGAAGACTGGAGTAATGATGCTGAAAATGCAGCTTTGCATCACATTAAAAATATATTCTAGTAGGAAGAAAGCTATTTTAAATTTCAGAAGTATTTCACAAAAATACTGTTTTTACTGGATGTTTGATTAAACAAATGCAGCCCTGATGAGCTCCTTTAAATGGTATTATATTCTCTTTTTTAAACCAATAACTAAAGACTAAAGAATTGAAAGTTTTATAACTAGTGGCAGTCTGGACCCATTACAGTTCATAATCCTCAGATCAGCATTAATTGAGGTCAGTCTGTGACCCCAGACCGCTTCTCTCCATGTGGAGGTGCCCCATAACCCCTCATAGCTCCCAGGCCATGAATTAAGAGGTCAAAGTGAGTCGGTCAGTGTCTGTGTTGTGGTGCACGGCTGGCGTTGTATTGTCCTGCTGTGTATCCTTACGCATGGTTCTCAAGGATGGGAAAATGATGGGAGAGATGGAGCTGTGTCCTCATCTGGAAGGAGGGATGAAGAGGTCAGAAAGGAGGAGGCGGTGGAGGAGTGAAGTGGATTGATGCCGTTCCGTCCTCAAGTCCCTGACGCTTGGCCCTCGCCATCTGTCACCCTGCAGGCTCTCTCTTTCTCGCTGAGCCCAGAATGGGTCAGATACACATTTACCTCATCTAACAGTACATTTGCCTACGGGAGCAGGTGAGGAACAGGCAGACACTGTAAGGTTAATGGGGAGAATATAAAGCGCATAGTTCACCCACAAATGAAAATTATCATCATTCACAGACCTCATAGTGAAACACATATTTTCTTTGCACTCACAAGGGGTTCATTAAAGCAGCAGAATTTCCACTCTTTTACATATAATGAAAAAGGATCGCGACCAGTGGCTGTCAAGCTCCAAAAAGGACAAAAAGCCACAATTCAAATGTACCATCTGCCCTAGCACTCCTGGTGCATCTGCAATACGTTAACAGTATTTGCATATAGCAGGAAGTGTAGCACACTCATATTCAGTACAGAAGAAAAGGGAGATCTGTATCTTGAATGCTAGAATAACTAGGGCAGAAGGCAAGATTTTTAGTGAATAATATTTTAGATGAAATTTTTTTCCTTGCATAGGAAAATATATAATAAATTATATGGCATCAGATTAGTTGGAATTTAGCGCACAAGTTGTTTTACTTTTATGTTTTTTGTCCTAGTTGGAGTTTGACAGCTTTACTGAAAAGATCAAAAAAACAATTTAGCATACTTTATTAGAGTACTTGTTACAGAAATAATATACTTTAAAAGAATACACTGTATTATGTGTAAACTGGATGTAATGTTTTCTGACACTTAATTGTATGTTAATTGAAATTAAAATCTATTTTAGCTTGAATTTATTTTAATTGCAATTAATTGAACTTATGAGAGCTTTTTTGACCCGCTTAAGTCAGACTTAAGGACGTCTTTATATGTAATTTCATTACTTCTATTGTCTTTGAAATATGGTCAAAGTGTACTGCTGAATACTGACAAGCATTTATGGTAAACTGATGTAATTTCTTTTGAAACTTGTATGTCATATATTTAAATATATTTGTAATTGTGCATTTGTAGTGCATTTGTAAAGTGCAATGTAAAGTTGCACTTTAATACATTTAAAATATATTATCTTTAACTCATCAAAATAAATGTACTTCTTTAAAGCATAACAAAAAATTATTAAACAGTGATTTAAAATGTACTTTTAATCTGACATTATTAGAAAGTGCACTTTAAAATTAAGAAACATGAAGGTGTCTCTCTGAGTACACTTACTGTAAGTGTCGTTTTATTAAATATTGTATTATCTGCAAGTACAGGTTTTTGAAAATATACTTTTAAGATATGTGCACATTTTCACAAGGATTAAGCACCATGGCACAACTGTCACCATTGCACCACAGCTCTTATGAGAGTCTGAACTTTGTTGTCTCCTGCCAGTCAGACAGATATTCTGCTGTCACATCCTCTGTATCTTGTATCAGTTCAGGAAGTAATCTGCACTTTTATTGTCAAGAACTAGAGCTTGTTTTTTAGATGGAAATTAATCTGCTTGAACGATAGTAGAGCAACTTGACACCAAAGAGCTGGTCCAATTAACAGGCATACGTTTATCTCTGACAGGCCAGTTGAGGTCATGGCAAAATCAATGGGCCATATTCTATAAGTTTGCAGACAGTGGCTCAGTGATCAATTACTGCACAATGTGTTTATGTTTCTATGTGGTTGATAAGGGACAGCAGGAGCATATGAGTCAGAATGAAAGTGATTTAAGAATCCATTGAGAATCCATACTACGAAATTTTCAGTAGAATGACAGTAGTTAGACTGCTTTCAAAAGTCTCATTGAAAAAAAAAAGTACTTTTATTTAGCAAGGATGCATTAAATTGATCAAAAATGAAAGTAAAGACATTTATAATAAATGCTGTTCTTTTGAACTTTATATTCATCAAATAATCCTGAAAATATGTATCACAATTACCACAAAAGGATTAGATGAACTGTTTTCAACATTGATTATAAGAAGTGTTGCAAATCAGAAAATTAGAATGATTTCTGAAAGATCATGTGACACTGAAGTAATGTGTAATGATCCGATAATGAGTGATGATGCTGAAAATTCAGCCTTGCCATCATAGGAATAAAGTACATAAAAAAAAACAAAAAACTTATTCAGATAGAAAGCAGTTATTTTCTACTGGAATAATCTTTCATAATATGACTCTTTTTACTGTATTTTTGATCAAATAAAGCATAATAGACTTCTTTCAAAAACATAAAAAATCTTACCAACCCCAAACTTTTGAATGGTAGTTTGTTTATTTATGTATTTATTTTATATGATTAATTTTAAATTATAATCTTTTATTTATATATTTCATCAATATAAGCAATTTCAGTAAAGCTGTAATTCGGCCGTAGCCACAAGTTTACAGTTGTTTCATATATTTCTTATAATATTATCCCTTCAGTAGCTTCAGTATAGTTAGCTATTTTTATTAGTAGCTTGTACTGTAGCTAACAACCTTTGTGTAACTTGGAAAGCTGCAGTTAGTTTACAATAGTTTCCACACTAGTGTTGTCGTGTGTGTTTTGCTTAACTGTCTTGGACCTCCATTCACCCCCTTTATTTTCCCAGTCGCTCCCCCTTTCTGTGAAGCAGACAGGCTCAGGCACGTGTGAACCGCCGTTTCCCCTCTCCTCTCCATGTGTGTCATGCAATTGAATGTGTGCGTTAGTTGTGTTTGTGCATGGCTGGCAGCTCATGTAGATGTGACCCACTTTAGAAGGGGTAGCAAATACTAGATGAGACTGTTGATAACTGAAAAGAGATAACCACAGACACATTCCTCTCTAATCTCCACTTCATTCTTCATTGGTTTTATTAAAACCAGACTAAACCGTAACTAGCATTCCAGCCTAAGTGTATAAGGGTAGAGAGAGAGGACAGTCCCTGCAGATTCAACCATAGAGGACTATAGGTAAACCCAGTGGTGATATCTCATATCCCTATTTTCAGTTATGAGCAGGTATTGCTGTTGTAACTGGTTTTTATTTATTTTGTACATGAGTGTACTACCATATGGATATGGTATGGTATGGTATACCATTCAAAAGTTTGGGGTCAGGAAAATGTTTCTACATTTTTTTGAAAGAAGTTTTACCAAGGCTGCATTTATTTAATCAAGCCATATATTGTGAAATATTATTTCAATTTAAAATAACTGTTTTTTAATATATTTTAAAATGTAATTTATTCCTGTGATCAAAGCTGAATTTTCAGCATCATTACTCCAGTCTTCAGTGTCACATGATCCTTCAGAAATCATTCTAATATACCGATTTGGTGCTCAAGAAACATTATTTATTTGTATCAATGCTGAAAACAGTTTTTTTGGAAACCGTGATACTTTTTTTCCAGGATTCTTTGAATATAAGGTTTAAAAGAACATCATTTATTTATAATAGATTTTTTAACATTATAAATGTCTTTACTTGTCACTTTTGGTCGATTTAATGCATACTTCAAGAATAAAATTACTGATTTCTTTCAAAAACAGCAACAACAACAACAAAAAATCTTACTGGCCCCAGTCTTTTGAACTGTAGTGTACCATAGTCTTTCAGATTTTGGACACTTAAAAAAGACTTTGTTTCTTTCATATACCTATGGACATGGCAGAGCAGAAACACTCTATGCTTAGATGTTTGTCATATATGATACATGCACACTGAAACTCATTTCTTCCAAATTCAGGATATCTAAAAAGTACTGAGTCAAAGTTGTTAAATGTTATATTTGTTTATTATGGTTTCTCACACTGAGGTAATGTTGGTTGGTATCCAGTGGGGGGCAGTGTGTTCTTCCACACCTCTCAGATATAACTTACTGAGCAGATATATCAGTTTGAGCAACTTGAAACTTTCACAGATTACACTGTACCTGACAAAATGTGATTTCTCCTTACTTAATGTCCACTGAGACCCATGCGAACTCACTGTCTGATGGCCAAAGACAAGAAAGAAAAACTACTGGCCCCTCAGAAAGCAATGAAATTATCATGCTTTCACGGTAACATAATAGCAGACTTTTCACCTTGACACCCTGCAACTAATACTCCATAGCAGGTGTGTGACATACAGAATGCATACTTGAACTCAGTCGTATCGCCTGTAGAGATGAACAGATGGTAGAGGCTCTCTAATTGTTCTCTTATACTACTTTATTATTGTTCTTACTAGATGTACAGAACTTTTTAATAGTAATTGTGAATTTTTCTCAACTTTCCTCTGGTGAATGCGTTTTGCATGCTTCAGAACTTCACCTAACTCTGTGTATGTGTGTGTATGCCTGCAGGGGTGTGTGTGAGCGGAGGTGGATGCTGCTGTGGGACTCTGGGGATGTGTAAAGTCTCCATCCGTCCTGGATCTCTGCAGCTTTTTAGGAGCTGCTCTCTGGGCTTTTGTGCAAGGTAAGACAAAAGTATGCGTCTCTATCCTCACTGTCACTACTAGAGAAACAGACATATGGAATTGATTTCCATCGTTCATTTAGCCCAGCCATACAGAACAAGCAGGCTTTAATAAACCCTGCCATTAGTGTCATAACTTTTACCTCTCACTGTGTTAGTTTTAATTAGGCTCAGTTAATCAAAGACACCAAAAGCTAATGATCTGTAAAGCATGATGAAAATGCACTCAGAGTTGTCTTAGATCAGGGCTGCAGGATCTGAAAAATTAAAGGAATGCATAATAAATATCATTAGCCTTGCTCATGAATATTAATTAGGTGATATAATATTTGACAGTAGTCACACAGGGTAGCCCCGCCCACACGGAAATCTCCTTGGAATGCAGTACTGCTCTTCATGTATATTCAATATACTCATGTTTATTAAACATCAAACATGGATGAGGACTGAAGTTGGAAGTTGAGAAACATTGGATATTTTGACAGATTCCACTATGGAAACTGTAAAAAGCATGTTGTTTGGAGAGGCATCATGGAAGTCATGTATGAAGCCCTGCACATAACATGCAGAGAAAAAAATCCAAGATATTCATGGCCAAAGATTATTATTTGTTCTTATTATTAATTTGTTTGCTCATTTTAATTAAATCATGGCAATGTTGTACTAACTTGGAACAAATGACTGCGACCTTTGAGTTACAACAAGTCCTACTTTCTAACTATTAGGCCACGACTGCTTCCAAAATTTGGCCATAAATTAATAAGTCATGGGAACGAATTCTTAATTCATGGTCAGCGTTTAATATCTCGTGTCATGTGGCTCTTTAGGGTGAGTGAAAAAAAAGTGTGAAATAAGAGAACTCATCCACAAACCGTTGACACCAAATGGTCTCTAAGATCTGTTTAGGTTTAGCTGTGCAGTGATGGGAGCAAAAAGAGGCTTTTCAAAACTTTGAATCAGTTAAACAAATTCGCAAAATGATTCAAAGTGCTTGGAAGTTTGCACGCTTGAGGACCTCTGCTGGTTAAAGACTGTAAATGTACAGCATAAAAATGACATGTTCTTAAAAACAATTGCAAGTGTTTTCATTTAATTGTAATATATACAGTGTAATCTTTGATAAATAATTCCATTAAATATTTATATGTTTTGTAATTGTATGTAGAGAAGCATTGTTTGCTGAAATTACAAAAAACATCAGTTTGATATGTGCTCTGAATCACTGATTAGAGACAGGTGATTCATAAAGGTGTCGACGCTTCACTAATCAGCGTTTCGAACGTGGCCATCACGCAGCTTTTCAGTGTGTACAGGCGAACTGCATGTTAAAATCTTGTCAGGTGACGCCTGGTTAGGAAACAGCAAAACCACTGTATGAAAAGGTGAGGGACTGCTTTAAATCTGGTGAAATTCAACTGACTAAAATAAACATAATAATCGGTAAAAACCGTGTTGATGTCAATTTTACAGGCATCAGCAGAGTTGTACTCAGTGGGAACAAGCATTTCCTCACTGTCACAGCTGATTATCGCTTCTGCAGGAGTCTGGACATTGATTAATGGTGTGAATATGTGTCTGGCTGAGTTTTACCCCACAGGGAAATTTCAATAAAGGTCCCATCCAGCACTTTGAAGTGTATTTTGTATGGGGTCAGGTTCATGATGGATGACCAGGGCAGAGTGTGACAGCGGCATGGATACTGGCCGACCTGAGGGGGCTGTAAGGGTCAAAGGGCAGGGTTTGGTGGATGGGAATTATTATTTACAATAGTTTTTTGAACATGGCACTGTAGTAATATGTTTTTGATGCACTACCATGGTTGTGGTGAAATCTGATTACCCTTCACGTACTAGACAAAAGACAAAGTTTTTGTTTTTTTGCCCAGTATTTTCCAGGAGGGTGCACTTCTTCAGACTACAGATTTGGCCCATTTGGCTCAACTCATCTGGTTAGTATGCAGTTTGAGCACATGACTGGCAGTTCTTCAGGACTTTGTGTTTCATGTGTGTGTGTGTGGTCTAAGCAGCTGCTCCACCCCTGCAGCTCTCAGTCTATGCTCACACTCGTCTTGGCAGCTGTCTGTTTCCTTCAGGAGACCGATCCCTACTCTATCTCTTCCTCCTCATGGTGGAAATGGCATCAGAGGCTTAGTTTCTGACCAGACTTTGTGTTTTTAATGTTTTATATTTTATAAGAACATTTCCAAAGATACAAGAATGGTTTCTTATTGGCAGAGAGGGGGGAAATATCATATAAACAAATAATAATTAAAAAAAAGTTATTTATTTAGAAATCTCTTGATTTTAGAGCCAATAAGAGGTTTTGAATTATGACATGATTATTGTGACACTACTCGATTTTTTAGATGTTTTTTTAAAAGAAGCACACCAAGGCTGCTTTTATTTGAAATTTTAAAATACAGTAACTGTTTATTTTATGATATAGTAAAAACTGTGATATTGTGAAATATTATTAAAATTTTAAATTACTGTTTTCTATTTGAATATATTTTCAAATGAAATTTGTTTCTTGATGGCAAAGATGGATTTTTAGCAGCCATTACTTCTGTCTTCAGTGTCACATGATCCTTCAGAAATCATTCTAATATGCCGATCTGCTGCTCAAGAAATATTTCTTATTAATATCAATGTTGAAATGTTTTTTTCTGTGTAATATTTTTTTCAAAACCATGATACTTTTTTTTCACGATTTTTTGGTGAATAGAAAGTTCAAAAGAATAGCTTTTATTTGAAATAGAAATCTTTTGTAACATTAAAAGTCACTTTTGATCAACTTAATGCATCTTTGATGAGTAAAAGTAGTAGCAATGTCTTTCAAACAATGGTCCATATTTGTAAAATATTTTATGTAATTTTTCGGTGAAATGTTACATGGACATGTACGCTAGATATTCTAATACGATCAGTTATATGTGTTCATCAGTCTCATCAAACCATGTCATTCTCATGGAATTTCACATGGCTGGGAGCCGCTGCTGTGTTGGCAGAGCTGGTCTGACCCTCCCTAAATGCCAGTGGAACATAAACAGCGAGCATGCTGGGAGTTAATAGGAAATGAATTAAAAGAGAGAGAGTAAAGAGTCTCTGACAAATTGCCTGCTCCCACCTCTCTCTTACTAAGATTTACTGAAGGGGAGCAGGGCAGGCCTGAGATTTGTGTGTGCACAGCTTAAAAGATGCCACATGTTACCCCCTTTTCCTCTGTCCTATAAAACCAAAGCAGTGATATTGTGCCCTTAAGTGATTTGTAACCTTTTTTCCTGAATGGCTTGAGGAGCTTCAGATGTCTCACTGCCCTCTGCCTTCTCCCTACTCTCTATTTCTCTCTCCCTTTCCATAGACTGATGAATCTTTTTTTTTTTTTTAGTTATGGGAAAAAATTGTCTGTGCAAAACATCTTTCAATGCTTATGTTAGCAGCTCTCCCATAGCAAATATAACTAACTCTGCAACAGATGCGCTGTGGCTGATATATTCTTTTGAAGAAATCTATTATTCTTTCCATCCACTGTGTGTCCAAGTGTGCCGAGGCATGTCAACCCTATGACTCACAGCACTGAACTGATCAGAAGATGAAAGTCTGACTCTCAGTAAAAATGTTTTCATGATTTGAAGACATTATCTCAGTTTTCAGTGTGACCTTTGCTAATTGTGATGCTATATTTGGTGTTTCCACCTGAGGTCACGTCGTGACTGAGACCACAAACTCCTGAACTATTTTAAAACCCTGGTCTTTTGACATTTGACCTCACTTGACCCTTTACGCCCATAAAACAGCACTGGCAGCTCTTGGGTTTCACAGCCAGTGTCAGGGACAGGTGTGTTTCTGATATCTTTCATGATATTTCTCCCCTTATTTTCTTTTCTTTAATGTTTTGCTCAGAGGTTACTCTTTCATAAATATTTTTATTAGTAGTAACAAAAACACTACTACTACTAGTTTAGTACAATTTTAGTTAATTTCAGAATTATACATAATCTGAAAGCGGAATAAATATGCTTTCCATTGATGTATGGTTTGTTAGGATAGGACAATATTTGGCCGAGATACAACTATTTGAATATCTGGAATCTGAGGGTGCAAAAAAATCTAAATATTGAGAAAATCGCCATTAAAGTTGTCCAAATGAAGTTCATAGCAATGCATATTACTTATGATAATACATTTTTGATATATTTGCAGTAGGAAATTTACAAAATATCTTCATGGAACATGATCTTTACTTAATATCCTAATGATTTTTGGTTTAGTGGTCCAGGGTCACATTTGATCTTCTGAAGATTTTGATGAACAATATTCATATTATATCAAAATCTTCATATATATATATATATGACTTATATAGTCTTTGGGATAATAATAATAACAACAACAACAATAATAATTATTATTTTCTTTCCAGAACATTATTTTTTAAATATTTGAGTTCATATTAAAGTCTTTGAATTTTGACTTAGAGATCTTGGAAAATCTGAATGTATGACATAGGCATAGCATAAGCTCCTCTGAGAATATGCTAGTCTTGCGAGAACCAACTTTTGTTTACAGCAAAGGAAAACCAGTCTCCTCTTGGCTTATATCGAAGTCCTCCAACATTTTTCTCTTTATTCTAAGAATGGAAACATTCTGAAAACGAAAAAATCCAAAGCTTTCCAAATACCCTGTAAACTCTCAGTGCACATTGAGAAGAAGGGTACATCATGCCTATATGTCCTCCACTCTATCCCCAAGCTTTTTTTTTTTTACATTAAGCTGTCTGCACTTCCAACAGGGCACAAAAAGGACACAGAGCTCCCTCTCATCCTTCTCCCCTCTTGACATCACCTCAGTGGTCTTATTGCTTTTCCATGGCAAGGAGCAGAGCCGTAAATGTAGATTGGTTTGCAGTGCTCAGACCTGGTGGCAGCTTCACACATATAGTTTCATTACACGCCATTCATTACAGCAGCTCAGACCAGGGCTCTGTATATGTTTAAGAAG